ACCAATCATCTGTAATTTAAGACCAAACAACAAGCAATGCACATCAGTGCTTTCCAAATGTAAACGTAAGTTCAAATAGTCTTGTGGGGTGTATTCATTCTGAAGCCCAACCTCCATTAAAGCCTTGTAAATGGTCTCATACATCATTTTCATTGTTTTGTTATGTACAATAAATGAGAGATAATAACAAAATCAAAAATTTATCCTTCTGAAGTATATACAATGATAGGCAGATTAATAGAATTTTTTGATTTCCCATTGGAAATATTAATCCAATGAAAAAAAAAGCAACAAAGTTATCCGTCTCTAAAGCTGCCTTTAAAATGAAGAAGTACAATGCTATGCGTTGAAGTCATAATTGGTTCCTACCTGCCAAAATAAAATCCTTTGTGTAGCAGCACCTATTGGATTGCCTTCTGGCGACATCGGAATAACAATATAAGCTGCAAACCTCTCACGTGCTTTGATTTTCTCAGCAATTTTAAGTGCAATTTCCATGGGAATCAAATTGTTCGCACCCACAGTAAGAAAATATGCTCACAACCAATATTCAGTAAAGGAATTTCAAGCATAAAGGCTTAGGAAAGCATTTATTTATTGTCATATCAAAGGCCATTTCACTCTCAACAAAAACACGATGTAGCAAATCAAAAGAACTACCTAATCCTATTATACCGTCTACCGTAAGTAAAGACACAGAAAAAATCCTCAACCAATCTCCTTGTTTGCTACAACCAAGCAAGTTTTACTACCATCACATTGAAAGCTTATGCTGTTAGAGAAAGGAGTAACTTCATCAAGATGTATGGATAACTTCATTATTTGTATCCTTAACACTCCCACTCATATGTGGCCATGCTCTCTAAGATAAATTACACATTTTTAAATTTAACAAACCGCTAATTTGATCTCCTCGTCTTCCCTGAAAAGGTTTGATAAATCAACTTAACTTATATGATCAAATTCAAATGAAATTTCAGCTCAGGATCATTTATGGAAATTATAGAATTTGCATTTGGTTGTAATTTGATCGATTATTAAAGGGTGACATTACAAACAAACATGTGCTAGCTTGGTAAGGCATGGTTGCTAAGAAAAGGGCATTTTAGTCATGCGTGCGCGGGTTAAAGTACCTGTGCAGCATCCTTAAGTGGGCCCCAACATTCCACGCGGTTGTATTTCTTCAAACTGGAATGGAAATGAACTCGAACAAATGCATCCAATAATTCTTGATGTTCAGTGAAAGGCAAAGAATCTCCATGCATCACATCCTTAAGAACCTGCCAATGAAAGAAAACATGGGAGAAAAATCAATGAAAGAAAAGCAATTGAATCTGCTTGTTATTTCTGCAACATAAGATCCTTCAATGAGATTTTCATTTTCATTTTCATCTAATACAACTTTTCAGTCTTATCTCTTCTCCTGAACTGTAGCTGCTTCATGGCTCAAAAAAAAGAATACAACACCTTCCACATATTTAAGACATGGAAGGAGATCTTATAAATTAAAAAAAAAAAATAGTTTCTTACTCGCTGCAAAAACATGTCTTCCATGACATCTTGGTACACATATGTCAAAACATCCCAATCACCTCCTCTTACCAATCTTTGTGAACCTTTTGGCCACTCCAAATATAACTGCCTTTGTTAAAAGCCCTCGGTCAAGACTGCAAGCAAGCACTATAGTCCCACCAACGAATAGAAACTTAGGCATGTTCCTCCTTGAGGGCTTCTCAGATGAATTCGAGGTTTCAACCTCTGATGAACCACTTGTGCTTTCCAAGGATCTCAGGAAGTCTGCACTAACTTTGGTGTTGACCTGAGCCATGAAAGCGCACCGTGAGAGTGAAGCACCAGATTCTCTCTCTCTCTCTGTTACGCACGCAAGCCAGGGTCAATCTTCTGGACTTCGAGCTTTGCAATTTCCCAAGGTATACCCATCTCTTCGTGATGGAACAGTAACACCTCACATGCAGTCAGTTGACCATCCCCTTTCTATGATTCAACTGAGTAACATCCAAAAATACAGATCTTACTGAGAGGTTCAGTGACCAGAAATATTAAGTGTTTATGTTTGAGGTAGTACAATTGTAATTTCTCATTTCAAAAAAACTCGATTTCTAAAGAGCTATACTTTAGGTAGTAGCATAAATACTGAAAAAGGCATATGTCAAACAATTAAGTCCTTAAATTAAAATGAAAAATTTAGTGAAATATGTATAGCAAGAGGCTGTAAGTACCTGCACGTATGTACCAACTTGAATAATATGAATCAACACGTCTTGGCTTGTTGCGCCGCAGGTCAGAGGGGCAGGGTACTCCCTGAAACATACCAAAAAAATATATATATAGAATAAAATAGTTAATTCCTGGGACTATATGCTGTTAGGAAGAAAATTGATCACAATAATAAAAAGGAGAATTCTATATATATAGTTTGTAAAACTTAAGTTTTTGAATGTGTTTCTCGAGCTGCCACTGGAAGCAATCTTCCTTGCATTTGTAAAATAATAGCACTTGGTGTGGGGAAAGGTAACTACAAGGGTATTAAAATTAACTACAAGGGTATTAAAATTTACTGTTATATCTCATATCCCCAACAAAATTAAATTTTTATGGGTGCATGATTTGACACTAATTATGTTATTTTCAAATTTCAACACTACGACACAACAGAAATTATTCAAGAACAATTTCTTTCACAGCCATACTACATTTTATTCAAAAACATATACACCAAGAAAATTAAAATATCAAATAATTCTTATCTTAAAAACAGATCAAAGAAACAACCACCATATGGAAGATTGCTAGTTCCCATTGAGAGGAGAGACAAAATAAAATAATGGTCTGGTAATTTTCTAGCCTCATCGCAAAATTTTTAGAAAAATGTACAAAACGGATATGAGTATGATCTAAAGAGAAGGATAGTACATTGTTCTTTATACCTTTGTAACACAGTAATATGCTCGTTCAGATTCCCAAATTCGACGGCCTATAATGTATTCCCTATCACTACAAAAGAAGGGAAACTGTGCCAAAAAAGAAAGAAGGAAAAATAAAAAAGAAAACATTACAAAACATAAGTCCGTGGGATCAATATAAACAAAGCATTAGAATTAAAGAGGATAAAAAAGAGAGTTTTCGCCCTACCTTGCGTGCCCACCGAACTACCATGGTTCCCGTGTTGGGGCACTCTTCCAAAGTTTCAGCATATATAAGCATGTCATCCCACTTCAATCGAAAATCATCATACCAAAATAAATCCCTTACCATCTCAGGAGTGGCATCCTCAAAGACTGTCCTGCTACGGTATTGCAGGGGCCCATTCTGGAAGAGGGAAAAAAAGCCATGAAGATTTTGATGTAATCAACCACAAGTAGTATGAAGAAACCAACATAAATAAACAAGTGAGTTACATTACATGACCTGCAACAATATAGCTAAGTAGGGGTAGTACGGAATGGAGTAGTGACTACCTGTTCACTCCCACAAACAAAGTGCCACTGGTTTCATTCTAGTATTAATTTAGTGAATCAAAGGAAAACAACATTGATAAAGAAAAGCATTACCTCAGGATCTCTCCGCCAAGCTTGATAGCTCAAACTGGGTGTAGACCTATCCATCATCTGAATCCAAGAAGGGCCACCATCTTTCTCCTCCGCAAGTCAACATAAATGCTCTAAATCATCTTTGGCCACAACAACAACAGCAACAGCTGATTTTTCCTTTTCTAGATGTAATGAACTGACAAATTACAATCAAATAGTTAGAAAGCTTGTTAACATTAGAATTTTGAGCAACTTTAGATTGAAAATCCATGACACTAAAACACTTTTGAATCCCAAGTTTAAGTTTCTAACATCTGAGGGATTTTGAACAATTTTGACTGGACCAATTAATAAGTAAGCTTTAGCTTATTAAACGAAACGAAGCGAAATGGTGTGAATAATAATTTAGAAAATTTTCACACTAAAACACCTTAGTCCCTCTCATCATTTACACCTTATAAGCATAAACCAAGATTAATCCCATCTGTATCAATGGATTTCCAAAAATGGTGTAATCGTATATAATCAATGCAATCAAAACACAATAATTTACCTAACATTACTAAACAACAAATCGTCCGAAAAACACCTCTTCGTAATTTCTGATTTCAAAATCAAAACAACAATTAAAAAAACAATCGAAGATAACATGTTTACAGCCAGAATGTTAGGATTACAAACCCAGAATAAACAATGGAAAATAGCTCTAAAACAAAACCCTAAAATAACGGAAAATAGCCATAAAACAAAACCCTAAAATAACCTCTTCACCTGACAGAGAGGATTGCAAACCCAGAATAAACATTGGAAAATAGCCCTAAAATAACAGAAAATAGCCGTAAAACAAAACTATAAAATAACCTATTCCCGACAGAGAGGACTGGAGAGGCAGAATAAGTTTTCGAGGACTGGAGAGGCAAACACAAACAGAGATAGAAGGGAGAGGTAGAAATCTTACCTTGCGAGCAGCGTAAGGGAGAGATACAGCCGAGTTCGAGAGGTAGAAGACTGGAGATCAGCGGAAGAGGGAGGGTAGGAAAGAAGAAGAACAGAGAGGGAGAGAGAGATAAAGAGGGAAAGGGGATGAGAGTGGGTGAGAACAGAGAGGGAGAGAGATAAAGAGGGAAGAGGGAGAAGACGTAGGTAGGTGAAAGGTTGCAGGAGAGAAATATTTGTGCGGGAAATACATAGATCTGAGCCATTGATATATACCAGGGTTGATACAGACCATTAGATCAAAATGTATCTCTAACACAAATTATACATTTTCAAAAAGCCTCTTGCCTTATTATATAGATATATATATATTGTTAATTTGCACAATATTTTCTTTATAATATTGTTCACAGCTATCCATTCTAGACCAAGAACAAACCATTTAGGTCATTGTTCACTGTTCAAATGGCCTAAATTGCCTTATGCTAAAATAATAAATAATGTGGACAACAATTGGTTATAAATTCAATTTTATGTTAAATGAGAAATAAAGCACCTCTCCACTCATCTTGCTAGTTGACAATTTCAAGGTCAACTGTTAATAAGAAAATGGGCATTCACATCATTCACCATTATTCACTCAATAAAGTACATATCCAGGAGTTTTCACTCCATTTGTGTGTAGAAGGTAGAAGAGTTTGATCAAAAGATTACCTACAATATGGATCATCGTATATCTAGGGAAAAGAAAAGAAAAAAGTAGATTATAAAACTGGTAAATAAACTTAAATAATAAATTAGCATACCGAGCTCAGTGGTTACAAGGTCATCTGAGCATATACCTCATCTGTCTCCACATCCGCCTAGAAAAAAATTTTGAGTTTCTAGAAACCACCTTGTAAAATAACCAAAACCAGAAAATAGAACTAAAGATTCCTTACATGCATGGTCACATTGTGAAGCTGACAAATGAGTTGTGGAGATAAGCTTGGGTGGTTAGGTATATGGGCATCCACTTCTTTGTTGGTTGATGCAGTAACCTACGTAGGTATATGAAGATTTGCAGAAGTCAACAATAGTAATTGTTTAATTTCATCAACCAGATCATAAACAATACAAAACCATAATCATTCAAATTTTAATATGAACACAACAATTTAAACTGCAAACAAGCACATGTGATAACAATTCAAGAGATGACTAGAACAAGTGACGTTTTAAATAATAGTGGTGGATGCCATAACAGTTACGGTGGCGTTGACGCGCGGTTGCCAAGCGTAACAGTCGTAGCATAATAGCCCAATGCTTAACATATGCTGGAACATATTATACCAAATAACAGAAGGATGTTTATAAAAATAGACAAACAAACAAATTTTATTTGCTAAGCAAGCATGAATAAACACATTGCCTACCATGGACCGATTTCAAAAATCTAAAAGCAAGGAATATGTCAAAACCAATCAAAGTAGACTGACCTGCTCACTATGGCCCTGAGAGAAATACACCACGCGGCTTCCAACAGCAGGTAGGGAAACAAGAGGACCTGCACATGCATGCCAAAGTTCAGAATTCAGACATCTCTTCTCCCCTGCAGATTATCAATGTAATTTTTTAACAAGAAATCAGTCTAACAACAATGTTTTGTAGCTTAACAGTACCAAAAAAGGACTTTGAGCATAAAAGAATACCCAAATCCCCAAAACATTATATTCACAGATTCCAATTGAGAACTGAAATCCCAGCTTCTCTTATATCCAGATATTGTTTTATCCCCTGCAAACTATCCATATCACTAAACAAAAGACAATGTTTTCAAGCTAACTCAATGATATGTACCAACATTTTGTGCTCCAACCTTGGGTGAACCTAGACTGAACTAGTTATGCGATGCAGAAAACAGTAAGCCACAATCTGCTTAGCCTTTTTTAAGTAATATGCTTCCCATTTGAAGCAGAAATAAAGCAACATTTACTTTCAAAATGAACGGAAGTTTTCCACAATGTCAACAAATGATTGTCAAATGGTAAGGAAAGAGTACCATATGAAATTACAAAGATGAATGCAAGTTTGATTTTCATGAAGAACTCAATAAGTCACAATTCATACTCTAAATTTCTCCGGAGAACCAAAATGAAGACTAAACTCAGATTAGAAATGGTTAACAAACATTGAATGAAGACACTTGCTTTCAAAATTAATCCAACCAAATCACAGAGAAACATCACAAAAAAATCACATAATTAATTCCAATCCATCATTGACACTCGTTTCACCGTCATTTAACCTAACACACCAATTGCATCAAATACAAACGCTTCTAGAATGAGAGGTAACTGAATAAGTTAGAAACTCACAAAGAAATCAAATCTGTGGAAGGGGCTCAGAATCATAATCAAATTCCAAGCTCGGAATTAGAATCAAACGCCAAGCTCGGAATCAATCGATTGGTGCTCATGTAACTAACATCATCGGAGGGGCAGTGGCTGGTGGTGGTAGGTGGTAGTGCTCGTGTGTTTGTGTGAGATGTCGATGGAGAGAAAAGAGAGAGAAGGAGAAGAGAGAGAGAGAGAATGCGTGAGCTAATAAAATGCGTGAGCTGATAAATTGTTAAAACTCTGATAAAAAAATAATGCTATATACGTCAATTAGTATATTATGTAGTGTATCAATTGATGATGTAACATAATTAAAGAGATTTTTAGTATTTGTAATTTGTATAATGAGTGAGATTAATAATAATATCATAACTAGTGTTAGTACAATAGTTAATACACTAATTGATGCATTTAACACCACCGAAAAAAAAAAAAAAAACAGTTATTTTAGAACAAATTGCTAATAGATCTGTTTAAATAAAATAAATGGCAATATTAATAAATAAAAAAATTGGGATGCAAAGAATGTATAATTCTAATAATATTAATAAATAAATAAAATTTGGAGTAGAAAATTTTAGACAAAAAAGATTTAAATATAAGTTTATAAATTATTTTTGTATTAAAAAAATCTATATTATAAATAGATTTATTGGGAAAAAAAATAAAAATTTCTCATATCTACTAGAAATTTATAAATATTTAAGAACATATAAAAAAAATTTATTATTATTTATAATTAAAATGTAATTTCTCTGGAAAATGAGAGGGTTTAGGACCAAAACATGTATGGATCTAGAATGATAAGGAGTGTAGCATAAGTTTTTAAATAATTTTTTTTAAAATTTTTAAATTCAAATAATTTACATATACTTAGAAGAAAAATATTTTTTAGCTTTCCAAGAAAATACTAAATTAAAAAAATATAAAATTTAATATTTTACGACATGAAATGTATGTTGTCTTAAGTGCAAATATTTTAGGGGTATTTTTTTTAAGGTCCCTGATATTATGATTTTATAGTATAAAGGACATCAAATATTTTCATGATGTCTAAGGTCCCTCAACATCAATTCAGAGAAAATTGGTCCAGAGAAAATTCAAGTCAGAGAAAATTGGTCAAAATTTCTCTGGTCTCCTTAGCCTTTCATGGACACTGTCAGAGAAAATGTGTTTTCACCAAATTTCTCTGACTTCGAAATTTATCAACCATGAACCATTGCCTCCACTCCCACTCTCATTCACTGCCATACCCACTGAATTGATTATGACAATACCAGAGGAGCCTACAGCCTACACAGCAAATATATATTTGCAAACAAACACAAAACACAATCTTCATCTTGTTTAACAGCATCATCATCTACCAATAATAATGGTGATTTGATGTGGATGATTGATTTCCATCTCAGTGTCTTCTGATGTTGTTCTTCAATAGCATCTCACGCAACTCAGCCACATCTATATCGTCTGCGTGATTCTCCGGCCTGTAGTACCCTGTCTCCGGATCTGGAACCCACGACGATGTCTTCGTCACCTCTTCACCTCCTTTCTTCGCCATCGCCTCCCTTGCTCCTCCACTTCCACTCACAGCAACACCTTGCGACGCCCCCGCATATCCTCGCCTGCTTGCAGAAACGGAGATTCTATCGACGATGAAGGCAGAGAAAAGCTTAGCGTTGGAGAGAGAACGAGCCATTTTTTTTTCAAAATCAAAACAGGGAGAGAATTGAATGCTACTGCGAAAAGAGTCTTTCGTCTTCTGTAGAAAAACCTAATCACAGCAGCGAAGGAAACTCTCTTCTCAGCTCTGTGTGTGTGTGTGTCTCTCTCTCTCTGTATTCGCTCTAGGGGTGAGGAACAAGAGTTGATCTGGACAGGTATGAGAATGGAGAAGTTTAGAGAGAGAGAGAGATGAGTTTTGATTTGGTAAGGTCAAATTTCTCTGTGATATGTTTAGGGACCTTAGACATTAAAAAATAATTTTGTGGATCTCTTCCATTATGAAAAGTGGAAGAGGGACCCTAGACCAATTTTTCCAATATTTTATAACATATTTTTGTATGCAGTAAAAATATACATTTTTTACGGCGTACTTTTGCATGTCATAAAAAAATTGGATTGAATTTTTTTTTTTTTTTTGTATAAATTCTCATGACATTTATTAGCATGTCAAGTAAAGTTATAATATTTTACAACATGAAATGTATGCCGTCTTAAGTGTAAATATTTTACAACATATTTTTGTAAGTCTTAAAAATATACATTTTTTACGGCATACTTTTGCATGTCATAAATATATAAATTAACGACTTACATGGTATGTATGCTGTTATTGACAAAACATGAACGGCTTGCCAAAAAAAAAAATATCGCAAAATGTACTAATTATGACGTGCATTTAACGCATGTCGTAAATATAATGCCGCAAATAGTTAGTTTTGTTGTAGTGTTTTAAACAAAATTCAATTGTTCAAATAAAAATTTTATTCAATACGATGTTCAAACAAATAATTTTGTTTGGAAGTTAATATTATTTTTGGACAATTGATATCGAAATAATACAAACATGCATACTAAGATAAAGTTGGGTGTGCTAATAGAATTATCTTTTAGGTTGTTACTTCATTGCTCATCAAATGTTAGAAAATTTGGAGTTTGTGTTTTTTGTTGAATGGCATTTTTGCCCTTACCTTGCGTTTTGATATGTATGTAATGATAGCCACCAATGAATATGCAAGAAAGGACTTGGACAAGAAAATGCTGATCACAGAAAGGAGTGTTATCTCTAAGATCCTTACACACATGGTTGTGAAGAAAAATGGGACAAAGTTTAGAAGCATCACAGTAGTAGCTCAAAAGAGAGAATTGGGTGAGAAATCAAGGGACAAACAGGAACCCCTTTTTTCATTGAGAGTTTCAAACACAATTCTTGCTCAGTCTGTAGTTACAGTGCTTGGATTGGGGTTCATCGATGCTGGGTAATCTCTTGGAAATTACTTTTACTATTTTTATTTTTATTTTTATTTTTTTGTGTGATCTAAATAGATATAGTAGTGTTTAGACTTTACCAGTATATACTCTCTCTCTCTCTCCCATAACTCTAACTTGCAAAATCTGCCCAATTAAATGTGAAGGTATAGTGGAGACTGGTCAAGGATTGGAGTGATTTCAAAGGAGGCTGAAAATTTGTTAAAACTTACGACATTTGTTGTAATCCCTTTGTGCCTCTTTCTCATATTTTCTTTCTCTAAGAAACAAGAGGCTTAAAATTTCGAATAAGATTGTACCATTTTCTAGACAACCACATTTTTACTTAAATAAATAAATAAAGAAGGAATTTTGGGGTGGTTTACTTTTTCTATTTTTCCTTGTCCTTTCGCTCAGCAAGAGGCCATGACATGCCCTATGAAAAAAAGGTAATATTTTTGTCAGTTTGCATCAAAATGCAGCCTTCTACCATTAAACAAAAAAAAATGATACTTGTTGGAGACTATAGGATTATGTTGGCCTGCGTTATAATCATTACTAATATACTAAATGTTGGCCTGCGTTATAAAATTATTTTTATTTTTTGCATTCTGCGTATGTGGTGTTTGCTTTTTATGTCTAAAACTTTAAAATAATCTAATCTCCACATTACACATTCATTTTTTTTATATATAGAATTTTGATTTTTTTTAACCTATTCATTCAGATGGATTTTTTTTTTTTCTTTCAAAAGGGTTTTTTTTTTTTTTTGGGTTACTTTTTTTTATGGGCATTGAGATGGATTTGAATTGTTGCAATTGCTTTTAAAACCATTGTTGAGCTGTTGACACTTGAGAATCTTTTGGGTCATGTAATACTAGACATTATGAGAAAGTCCAGTAGTAAACAGGTCCAGAACTATTCAGTATGATTCATATCAATTGTGGTGTGCAGTTAGAATAACTTGATTTATTTACAGTTCTAAAAGCCACCCACCCACCCACAGTACGGTAAGTTTTGATTGAAATTTATTTAGTTAAATTACAAATATATTTCTTGAGATTTGTTTAAAATATAAATTGTTCTTTCTTTATTAAAATTTTTTATTTAACAGAATTAATTAAAAAAATAAAATTTATAATTGATCTTCTATACAATAATAAAATTACTTAAATTATTAATTGAAATATATTTCTAAAATAATTAAAAATTATTAATTGACTTAAAAATTTATTAATAAAAAGAGAGATTTGTTATGAAATTAAAAACCCCATACGTGAAATGTAATTTCTAAAATTATAAAAAGCGATTTATATTTTAATCAAATCTCATAATGTATTTATAATTTATCCAAATTATTATTTATTGCAAATTTTCATTGATCTTAATGGGGTTTCGTTAAAAGTTTGTGGTTCTTTGGACCCAAGCCCAGCTTGTTTCTCCCTCCAGTTATAACAAATAAGTCCATATGCATTGAACAATTTTTTTTAATCAGGGTATTTAGTTTAGTGGTTGTGTAGTTTCGTTTGTGATATAAGATTTCAAGTTCAATTTTTATAGAGTGGAGTTTGATATTTTTGAGATAATTGGTTTCTTTCTCCCCGTTATGGGGGTTGTATTGGACTTGGCTTAGTGGGCTTGGGTAAGCTTGGTGAATTAGTTATCAAATTTTGTTGACTTTAGCTTTTATGCAAGAAAAATGAGTGTTTTGTTTAATTTAGTGTAAGTTAAAAATATAATAATTAAAATTTAAAAATCAAAAGTATGCTTCTATTTAAGGAAAATGCTTGGAACTCTCAAAAATCTCTTTCAATTCAATCCACAATGATGTAATTTGACAATTGTCAGTTTTTTATTGATCATACACTCAGGGGCATTATGGCAAGTTGATAAAAAATCAACTTTTGGATTTTTTTGAATCACATCATCTCTACTTTTTTATATCAAAAAAGTCAAAAAGTTACGAGGAAAAAAAAAAACCCAAAAAGCCAATTTTCAGGTAACAATATCTCTCTACTTTTTAGGGAAATGTTTCGTAGCTCGAAACATTTTGCCCCGAATAGCTCGAGGGAGAAGACGCAGAGAGAAGCAGAAGGAGAGAAAGAGAGAAGCAGAGGGAGAGGGAGAGAAAGAGAGAAGCAGAGGGGAAGAGAGAGAGAGAGAGAAGACGATCGTCGCCCCGGCCAGCCGCCGATCCGCCGATCGTCGCCCAGCCCAGCCCCCTCCAATCCTCCTCCTCTCTCCTTCCTCCTCTTCCTCCTCCTCCTCCTCCTCCTCCTTTCTTCCTTCTTCTTCCTGGTCTTCGTTCTTCTTCTGCAAAAAAAAAAAAAACGAGCTATTCGGGCTCCCCGTTTTCGAGTAACGTAGCACGATCATACTTTTTATACCAAAAAAGCCAAAAAGCTACACACACACACACACACAAAAAAAAAAAGTCAAAAAATCAACTTTTTACCATCTTTTCAAAATACTATTTGTGGATGCATTTGTGAGTACAAAATATGAGTCTTTACCATTGTTGATTTAATAATTTATAAAGAGAAATTGTATCAAATAATCTAACACAAATCCTCAAAAAAATTTTAATTATAAACAGCTAATATAAAAAAGTACCAAACAATCAACTATCACCAACATAAAGTTAAGCTTCTCCAATTAGATTCAAGATTATAGTTAGAACTTGGTGGGTCTACTCTAAACCATCCGTAATTTCATCATTTTGTAAGTTGAACTAAATAGACAATTTATTTATAAATAAATAATAAAAAAAAAGGTTGGTAAAATATCAGTAATTATATTATCTAATAGCATTTGTTTGTAAAAAAATATATTCTCAAAATTAAACTTATCTTTGTTCATAAGACAGTGTAATCTAACCATATCTGATAAATTTAATATTTACTTCTGAACGTTTTGACTGGTCAGGTTCTGATCAGCGAGGCATAGGGTTCGTTTTTGACTTTTTAATTTTTTTATTATTTTAATTTAGGATGAAAAAATCTTTTTTAAAATGAATTTTTTTAGTTTTTTAACTTTCGTTAAAAAAATAAAATAATTATGATTTAAATATAACTTTTTATCTTATTAAAAAACTCGTTATATCTTTTTATAACTAAAATAACTCAAATCTCACCCAAACCCACATGCCAAACGGGCACAAACAATACTTTCTGAATTGAATTAGGAAGATAGGCCCTCTTTGATTACGGGCACAAACAATACTTTCTGAATTGAATTAGGAAGATAGGCCCTCTTTGATTAGGTTGAGTATTAGTGATAAAATTAATAATCTCACAGATTAATAATTTCACGAGATAATTATGTTATATACCAATTGATATACTAACTAATATATCAATTGATGATGTAACATAATTTAAGAAATTTTTAAAATTTGTAATATGATTAATGAATGAAATTAATAATAATGTCATAACTACTATTAATACACTAGTTAATATACTAATTGGTGTATGTAACACTACCACCAGATTGTAAATATCAATCCTCTTCTGGTATTAAATATATTATAATTTTAAAGATTAAGAGTCCTATGAATTATTAAATCATTTTTGTGATTCAAATGCACGAATATAAATTTGATAAGATTAAAAATACAATCCCATATAATTATCCCCACATCAAACAAATCCAGAGAGAATTAATTCTCTAGATACGGATAAACACATTTGTGGAAATTTTTCAAACTTTGCTAAGATTCTAGCAACCGCATTAACAATAATTTGCTTTAAAAACTCCATTATTGTCTTGCTGAACCTCTTTTCTTTCTTTCCTGCTTTCATATATTTATTTTATTTCTTTTTCTGTAATGAACAAAATACTTGTCATCTTTACACAGCGTCTCATTTTTACAGGGACCCTCATCGCAACACATGTGGACCACCATCACCCTATCACTCCCCGTTTTATTATTTCGCCTAAATATATTCCTCTACACATGCACAGAATCAGCGTATGTCCCACCAAACACACAAACCCAACCAGTCACAGTTCGCCACCTACGCCACGGCCCCACAATCCCAAAAATTTGAAGGAATGAAAAACTCTAGCGTGTCTAATATATACATATTCTATCGCCTGTACTTCGAGCAGTCCAATAAAATACAGCTGTATACAACTACGTCCATTCAGGACCATCCACGTCATGAAGAGGGATCACTAGCTGTCAAGTTTTCTCCACCAATAAGAAACCATTACGTGTCGAAACTTGATTTGCTATGAATCCTAGAAACCCTGTTGGACCTGTCCAGCTTCTGGGAGAGGGCATCAAAAACCTGCCACGTGGCGTCGCCTTCCTCCATGTCACCATTGAAGAGTAAGGCCCGCCTTATTGCTGGGTCCCCTAGGTTCCTCTGAATGGTCGAGAGATTGGTAGCTGCCACGTGTTCAAGAATCAGTCCCAACTTTCCGACGTCCCTCTCCGCCACCGTGAGCGATATCTCCGGCCACCTCACGGCGGTGGAAAACGGCAACCGGATACCATCGGCTATGATGACCGGCACGCAACCCAAAACAACAGACTCTACTAATCTCGGACTCCACGGGGCCCACCCTAGCGGGCAGAGACAAAACACGGAACGAACGATCTCTGACTGGTAACCGGCAAACCTGTTACGCTTTAGGTAAAACCTCCGGTCGCCGCCGTACCTCCGCCATATAACCGTCCTCACACGCCTGAAACAAACATCAACATGTCAGAGGCAATTTCGTAATTTCACAAACATCAATAGCGACTAATGAAGAGATTAGTAATAATTTATTACTTGCTGTAAAAACGACCGCTGATGTTCTTGGGATTGACTTCCATTTTGCCCCTGAAGAACGCGAAAATGTCTCGCCGGCCATTCGCCGGAGATTTTGAGAGGGTGGTTTTTACACTTTCCGGCGAGATGTACGGAGGTATGACCACATTCTCAACTTCTTGACAAGGGTGTTTGTATTTAACACCAAATGTCTGTAATATAATGGACTTCTTCAATATCTCTGGTACTCCATCTGCAATCGCTACGTCCTCCTTTTCAAAACAGCACAAAAACTAAAATCTCAGAAACACTTTCCTCATAAAAAATAAATAAAAATAAAAAAATTGATTTTGAAAAACATTTCGGTTTCTGACCATTGTATGAAAGCAAGATCCGAAATCGTGAGAAGCGACGAAGACGTGGTCGGAGCCCTGGCTCCTATTCCAGAAGGGAAGCTCCGAGGAAATGAGCTGGACCGCCGATGAAATCAGAGACCTTGCGTGACCGATCGCCGGGAAGCCATTAATGGTGCTGAAGTTGCAGGAAACGTAGACGGGGACGAAGAAGAAGTCAGCTTCCCATGGGTCAAGCGTCCGTACATCGCTGTTCAATAGAGTTCTGTGTATGGCCACCTCAGAGGCAAAGAGGTGGCTGCTACACCGCTCATTCGATAGCCAATCACTGTTGTATTTCGATGGTAAATCGTACACGTACACCTTCAAATCCTTGAACAAACCTGCCCAAAAACAAAAACAAAAACAAAAACAAAAACAAAAAAAGATTAAGAAAAATAAGAAAGAGAAGAGGGTAAACAGAGGATGTGATTGAAGAGGTAGAGAAATGAATGGACCTTGGCGGGTTTTGGGTTGTTGAAGAACAGTGTTGTTGAGGGATTCGAAGAGCGCACGATTGGCCAAGATGGATTTAGAGCGAGAAACGGCCGCTAGAGAGGTGGATGATTTGTGGGTTTGTGGGTTGTGGGAGATGAGGTAAGAGGTGAAGAAGTAGCAGGAGAGAGAAAACCAGAGAAGCCATTTGAGGTATCTGTAGCAATAAGACTTGTCTGTTTGTCTTCCATGCTTGTTCTGTAATAGTCTCATCCTCACATAGAAGCCTCTGTTCCTTGAAGGTCTATTGACCTCCGCCATCTATCTTATTGAAACCCCCACCTCCTTTTTCCCCTTCTATGGAAGTTGTTGAGATGGGGCTTTCGCTTTTGGTCTGAAAGAAGAAGTAGAAATCAAGAAACAGAGATTGACGATGATGAGATGAGATGATATTGGGTAGTTGGTATTTCGTTTTACCTTCAAGAAAAAAAAAAATTAATGGTCGGAGTTTTAATTTATTTTTTCGAATTTTTTTATATTGGGTTTGGTGGAGTATGTTGTTTTCAAGGAAAAAAGATAATCATGAAAGCTTGCAGTTGCAGTTGAGTTGCAGCAGAGAAGAGAGAGAAAGGTTCAGAGATGGAGAGAGAGAAGACAGAGCATTTTTTTTGAGGCAGTCACATTTTGGTGGATCAGATGGAACATCGCCAAGGGTCTCGGTTTCTCTGCTAGTTTTGGCCCTTCCAAAATATTAAATCCACTGAAATTACTATAATACCCTCCTCCATTTCTAACTTTCACATATATTATACATTAGAGCATCTTCAATGGTGGATTAAATTTTTCATTAAATTTGAGTAAAAAAAAGTCAATTTTTTTAATCTGATACCATTTACTTCAACCGTGCATCAAAAGAAAAGTGATCGACCGGTAAGGCAAATTTTTTTTTTTTTTTTTTTTTTTTACTTGTTTGAACCTTTTTGACCGGTTTGAACCTACCTATTTGAAAGGGAACCGGTTGATCGGTTGGTCTCCTCCAACGGTCACGCACAGTAATTTGGTGAAACCTGTATTCTGTTTTCAATTTGATGATTTTTTTTGTTCAATTCTCATTTTGATACCAGTTTGGTGAAACCGTTAGAGCTCTAAAAAGTATCTTTTTCACCAAATTTCAAATCTGATGCCAAGTTTGCTGAACTGTTGGAGATGGTCTTAGGAATGGCAACGGGGCGGAGCAAGGCGAGGCCGGGGACTACACTTTATGTTCCCGATCTCCGAAGCTACAAAATTCTCCTTTCCCGACCCCGATCCCCAGCAGGGAACCCACCCACTACCCACCCCCCGTCCCGGCCCCCTATCCCTAACGGGGATTGGGTTTCCCCGACCACGAATAATCCTCGTACAAAATAACAACAATCAACAAAGAAGATGAACAGCAGAGAGAAGAGATAACCACAGATCTATTAAAAAAAATATGGATCTGTTCAAAACAACCACAAATCTATCAAAATCCTAACAGAAAAAATGTAGATATGTTCAACAGATATTATAGATATATGTTCAACATAAAAAATTAAATATGTTCAACAGATCTGCGGTAGAAGGAGTGTTGTGCAATAGATAATGACGATCGGTGGTGTGCAACGACGTTAGTGACGGGATCGGTAGTGTGTGATGACAGTGGTAACGAGATCGGTGGTGTACGACGACATTGGTGGCAAGATCGGTGGTGTACGATGACGGTGGTAGCGAGTGAGAGAGAGAGAAAGAGAGAGAGAGAGAGAGACGCTGCAAGAAAAGAGATTGCTGGCGGCGAGTGAAGAAAATCGATAGTGGAAAAGAGTGGCGAGCAAAGATTGGCAGTGGAGGAGAGTGGCGAGTGGAGATCAGCGGTGAAGTAGAGAGAGAGAAAAAAAGAAATGAGGGATTCGAATAAGAGAGGCTGAAAATGAATGGCAGGTTGAAAATGAAATTTATAAATATAACATATATACATGGGCCATGTTCGGAGATAATTCGGAGGCCGGGCCGGGGTTGGGGAACCTATCCCCGTTCTCGGCCCGAAAATCATCGGGGATTTAGTTTTTAATATCATCCTCGGCCCTACGAGGAGTAATTTTCTAGAAAAACCTGTTTTGATCGGGGTCGAGGAGTCGGGTCCCCGTCGAACCGGGTTCAAATTCTCAACCCTAATATACATATTCTTGGTCTCAAATAATGTCCATTAATTATTAGAAAAAATTTGAATATTTATTTTGTGTATGGCTTTTAAGAGCCTCTTTATCCGTTACTTTAAATATAATGTACCACTTAAATAGTTATATTTTGAAATTAAGTATCAATTTTATTTGGTGTGTCAAAAATTTATGTAGCATTTGGTATTATTACCCTTTTATATTAATTTTGACATGTTCCTAGTTCATGTCATTTTTAACATAAAAGAGTTCAAATTTAAAAAATAATATATTCGATATATTTGGTGAAAAATTTCTATGTCAAATTGACACTTCAAAAAAATTTTGACGTACTAAATTTTAAAAGTTTTGGTAGATATGCTCTAAGCTAGAGAGATGGAGATGGAGATGGAGATGGAGATGGAGAGAGAGAGAGAGAAGAGAGAAGAGAGAGCATTTTTTAAACAGTCACATTGTGATTGTTTTGAGGTCTCGTTTGGGGACTGACTATTTTAGCCAAAAAATTAAAAAGTCAATTAAAACTAGTCACATCACTTCTCTACTTTTCTGCACATTTTTTCGTAAATTAGACTCTTTTCAAAAAGGGTAGGTTGGCCAATGCTCCTATGTGCATTTATTTTATAATTTTATTTTACCAACTAATGTGTGAATTAGAAATAGGCTTCATTTGGGAACAAAAGAAAAAAAAGTTACATTTTGCAGTTGGGTCAAAAAAATCAAAATAGGTGAAGTGGTTATTTTCTAAAATGGGTGAGGGTATTTTGGCCTTTGATTATGATGTGATAATATAAATAAATATTAAGTAAAAAAGTTAAAAAATAAATTTTTACCAACTTCACAATTGACTTTTTGAAAAAGTCAAAAAATTTATTTAAAAGTCAAAAGTTAACTTTTAATCATATTTTCCAAATACCTCCATTAATACAAGTCAGTGCTATAGATTGAACTTAGAACTTGTTCAACATTCTTTAAGTATACTTATTTAGATGAGTATATTTATCTAGGTCACATTGGTCTCTTTTAAAAAGTGGGTTAAAAGTTAAGTGCTATAGATTGAACTTAGAACTTGTTCAACATTCTTTAAATAAGTACACTTATTTAGATGAGTATATTTATCTAGGTCACATTGGTCTCTTTTAAAAAGTGGGTTAAAAGTTACTTGTTAACTTTTAACCCATTTTAAGTCACATCATCTCTTACATTTTTATATGTTTTTAAAAAAAAAGTTAAAAAAAGTCAAAAAAATCAGCTTTTAACCATCTTTTCAAAACACTTCATTGTCTCTTCATTTTTCTCTACATCTTTTTGTAAAAAATCAAACATTATATCCTAGCTTGTAATGATAAATTTATCACTTTAAAAATATTTTTAAAAAATACAATTTACCTATTTTTATTTCTTACATCATATATTCAACACAAATTAATATAAATAAATTAAAAATAATTCAAAATTAACAATCATTTATTATTTTGATAAATTTATCAATATTTCCAAATACAAAATACATTTAAAAAGTCTTTAAAAAGTTCATTATCAAAATAAGAGACAAATATATTTTAAAAAATATTAAAAAATTATAACAATAATGCCAATCAATAATATTTATTAATGATTTATCCTATATAATAATGAAAATTAAAAATATGGAGCATTAGTGATGATGAGATTCAATATATTAAAAGTGGCTTGTTTTGGGATGTTGGTTTTTGGTCACTTTTTTTGGTTTGTAACAAAAGCTCAAAGTTAGCTTTTTTGATTTTTTTTTTTTTTATTTGGGAAGTTGGTTTTTAGCTAAGGTAAAATTACAATTCTACCCTTCATGGGTTAAAATGTGTTACATGGATGAAGTTATAAATATTTTAAACTAAATGGAGGTAGTTTGGTCATTTTATTATGATTTGACATCATAAACAAATATTAATCAAAAAAGTCGAAAATAACTTTTTACCAACTTCTCAAATCATTTGTCTAAAAAAGCTAAAAGCTTGGTTAAAAGTTAAAAAATTACTTTTTACCATCTTTCCAAAATAGGCCATTGTAATTGTAAATAATATAACAAGAATAAAAAGGCATGGTTTGGGAAGTTGGGTTAGAGGTTTTTTTTTTTTTTGGTTAAAATAGCCAAAAAAAAATAAAATAGGCTTTTTAACTAAATAAAAAAAAGCATCATATCCAACTCATAATCATTATATTCTTTTTCTCACAAAAAAAATCAAAAAAGTCAAAAGTCTTCCTAAACTAGGATTTTTAGCCCCAAGTTAAAATAGTCAACAAAACCAAAAAGTTAAAAAGTCAACTCACTTCTCAAACCATGCAAAAGTATAGGATTATGGCTTGTTTTGACAATTTGGCTAAAAGTTTTTTTTTTTGACTTTTTAATTTTTTTTTTTGGTCACATTAATTCTTTATTTTTTTACATATATTTTTTTAAAAAGTCAAAAAAAATTAAAAAGTCAACTTTTAACCTACTTCTCAAAACAAACCTATGATAAGGATAGCATGAAAAAGTTTAGAGTTCTAGATTTTTTTTGGATTTGGGGTGACTTCTATGTAGGGGTGCACATCAACCGCTGTTAGGCATCAAAAATAAACTCATTTCGAAACTCATTTCGATAATCTAAACCGTTCACATTTTAGAATACATTAAGTCGAATATACTTTTAAAACATCAAATTAATCGAATATCATTTACCCTTTCATCCACTTACATTTGTATTCGTTTTAATACTTTAAATCACAATTATTATTTATTTTTATAGATATAAATGTTAGTAGATGAATGAGTAAACGATATCCGATTAATTTGATTTTTTATAAGCATGTTCTACTTGATTTATTCTAAACTGTGAACAGTTCGAATTACCAAAATAGATCCCAAAATGAACCGATTTCGTTGCACAACAGTGATTATTGTGCATCCCGCACAACCGTCACCCCAAATCTATTTTTTTAGTAGATGGGAGATTGTCATCTAGTAGAGAAATTTTTAGATAACTGCTTGTTTGGGGTTAATATTTTAGTTAAAAGTCAAAAAGTAAGTTATCACATCACTCTTTTTATTTTTTATATATCATTTTATAAAAAGTTCAAAAATTATTAAATAATGTGTTTCGAAACTAGGCCTAAGACCTCTTTTGATAAGTGTATTAAAAGTCTTTCTCTCATATTTTTTACATATTATTAAATAATGTGTTTCGAAACTAGGCCTAAGACCTCTTTTGATAAGTGTATTAAAAGTCTTTCTCTCATATTTTTTACATTTTTTTAAGAAAAAATTAAAAAATTAATTTTTAACTATCTTTCCAAAACAACCTAGAGCTGGGGGGTGTTCGCGGTTCGGATTTGGACGGTTTGCGGATCGGTTTGGACCCGCCCGCATTTATGCGGTTTGGAGAAAAGACAACCCGCAACCGCCCGCAGTGCGGTTTGCGGTTTGTGCGGGTAGGGTTCGCGGATGTGCGGGCGGTTGCGGGCGGTTTGCGGATTGGACTTTTTGCTTCAAAAAATTAT